TCCATAAATCACAACGAAGCCAGATAAGCGCAGAGACGAAAGCAGGGTCAACAATGCCGAGTGTCAAGGAGCCGAAGGTCAAAAGCCGAGGATCAAACCGACAAGGGTTTCACGGAGTCAGGAGCAGGAATACACGGAACGTTTGGTCCTGTCAACGAAGTTGCCAGCACAAGTTCCTTCCAGCAGCAGGCTTGGTGATATAGTGTGCTGGCTAATTAACTTGTTATCTGGCAGGGAGCAAGGTCAAGCTTCTGCTAAAACTCAGGGCTGAGCGAACGTCTTGCACGCATGCGTGCAGCCCAGCGTCTTTCGTTCAGCTCCTGTCTCCGTTGACTCCAGAGCCTGGTCACAGCTGGCGGGGAGTCGGGTGGTGAATTGCTGGGATTGAGCAGAGCCTGATCCTGCGCAGGTGTTTCTTGGGAGGCTCTATCCTCCTCCAGACTTAGAGACTCTTTTGCTACAGGAGCCAGTTCCTGACTGTAAGTCTCTGCTTCTGGAGGTTCCTCAGGGGCTTGTGGTGCCAACTCCACATGCTCCTGGCTGTCAGGTTTGTCATCAGGGGCAGGCATGACATCTAGCCTTGAGATGACTGTCGCATGGATCACTGTGGCCAGATCATCACGGCTAAGGAAGGGGACCAACTGCTGCACCAGATGAAGATGATAAAAGGCTGCTCTAGCAGTGGCCGCTACCTGGGCCTCCATCGTTAAGGTGGAGTCCAGGAGCACCCCCAAACTACTAACCTCCGAAGCTGGCACCAGAGGAGCCCCATCAAAGGCCGAGAGTGGGAGTCCCAATCCCATACCACCCCGACCCAGGCACAGGACCCCTGTCTTTGCCGGGTTCAACTTCAGCCGGTTCAGCCTGAGCCACCCAGCCACGGGCTGTAGAGCTCGTTGAAGATCTTCTGGGTCGAAGTCTGACTGGCCGCCCAACATCAGATAGAGCTGGGTGTCATCTGCATATTGATGACACCCAAGCCCATACCTCCAGACAATCTGGGCGAGGGGGCGCATATATATATTAAATAGCATCGGGGAGAGTACTGCCCCTTGAAGCACTCCACATTCAAGCAGGTGCCTCCGGGGCTGCTGCTCCCCTAGCACAACCCTCTGCCCCGACCTTGGAGAAAAGAGGCAAGCCATTGAAGGGCGAGCCCCTGGATCCCCACGTTGGCAAGGCGGTGGACCAGCAGCTGGTGGTCGACCGTATCAAATGCGGCTGACAGATCTAGCAACAACAGAGCCACCACACCGCCTTGGTCCAGATGTCTACGGAGGTCGTCAGTCAGTGCAACCAACAGTCTCCGTCCCATACCCTGAGCGAAAGCCAGACTGGAATGGATCAAGGACGGAAGCGTCATCTAGAAAACTCTGTAACTGAGTCGCCACCGCCCTCTCAATCAACTTGCCCAAATAGGGCAAATTGGACACCGGCCGATAGCTGGCCAATTCAGCCGGGTCCAGAGTTGGCTTTTTCAGGAGGGGGCAGACCAACGCTTCCTTGAGTGCCTCGGGGAACCGCCCCTCCAGGAGGGACTTGTTGACGATCTCCCTCAAGGCACCTCAAAACCCCTCATGGCCCGCTTTAATGAGCCAAGAGGGGCACGGATCAAGGCCGCAAGTGGTTGGGCACACAAATACAAGCAATCTATCAACTTCCTCCAGGCTGAGCCGGTCAAAGTCCTCTAAGACCGGCGCAGCCGTGCAAGGGGCCTCAAGTTCACTAACTGTATCAACTGTGGCAGGGAGGTCGTGGCGGAGCGTCAAGACTTTATCCGCACAGCCTCACAAGCCAATGTCCAATTCCCTACTATTTTGTCTGCCCTGTGGCAGAGCCGTCAGTGACCGAATCGTTCTAAATAATTGGGCCGGGTGTGAGCTAGCGGACGCAACCCTAGCTGCATAGAAATCTCTCTTCACAGCCTTGACTGCCATCTCATAGGAGCTCATAAATGTCCTATAAGATGCTCTTGTAGCCTCATCGCGAGCTCAGCGCCACCGTCTCTCTAGCCGTCTGAGCTCCTGTTTCATAAGCCGTAGCCCCTGGGTATACCAGGGGGCAAGCTTAGAGCGAGGGCGTAGAGGGTGCCGAGGAGCGATAACGTCGATGGCCATGGAAAGTCGGCTATGCCAGTCATCCACAAACTCAGTCAACGAACCACCAGGGGGCATCGGATCCCGCAGAGCCATCTGAAGCCGCCCAGGGTCCATCAGGCTCTGCGGGCGAGCTAAAATCCGCTCGCCGCCCAAACGGGGTTGGGGCGGGACATTTGCACGAGCCTTCAGGGCAAAGTTGTCCGACCATGGTACCGCTTCCGGTACACCAGCCAGATTGCCAAACTCTCCTCGGCCTCCAGCACCAGACCAACACACTCTACGCCCGCAATCTCCGCCGTGGGGAGCGCCCTGAAGGAGTAAGCCTCTCGTACAAATATCGCCACTCCTCCGCCCTGCCCCCTAGTCCATGATTGGTGTAGGACTGAAAACCCAGGTGGGGCAAGCTGGGAGAGAGATACAGTCTCCCCGTCCCACACCCAGGTCTCAGTCACGCAAGCCAGGTCAGCCTGTTTTTCCAGAATAAAGTCCCGAAGGACCGCTGTTTTATTATTCACAGACCTGGCGTTGCACAACACCAATGTCGGAGGAGGGTTACTGATCCTTGCCCCACTGCCATCATCCTTTAGGATGAATCGCATGCTGGAAGGGCGCCGAGCTCTTTTCTTTCTCAGCACCCTTCCCATACTCCACCACCTGGACCCACCGCTATACTTTCCCCTCCCAAAGAGCACTGGAATCTGTTGTATTGGCATCACTACCTTTTGGCTGGTTCACGCTGCAGCTCCAGACTGCCAGTAACAGCCAATCAACCGTCTCCCAAATGCTGTACCCCCTCACTGGCATACAACCATACATTCACCCTCTGCTATACAAAAACTTATCAAATATAATGGTATATTGGGCTGCAATAACACAAGAAAAACCTAAAACACTCCTACCCCCAACATTCCACTCTACTTACAACCAATCAGTCTCCACTCTCCTCAACATCAATAGCAGGCTACTTACTCACTCATTCATCCATGCATCCAGACAAAAATCCACACAACAATGGCGTTCAACACTCAGAGTCCACCCTGATGGCCAACAAGAGGCAAGAGAGAGACACTGTCCACCCTGCTGGACTGTTCTTCCACAGCTCCCCACTAGGGGCACTAGCTGATCCCCTAGGAGCACTCCACCGTTCCACGCTCTCCTGTGTTGTTTTAAACCGGCCTCCTTCGTTATAGGCGTTATTTTGAGAATTAAATGAGGGAGAAGCATATATGTTGCTCTGAACTACTTGGAGGAAGGGTGAGATAATAAGGTACTAGAAGGATAGATACTGCATTTTCCCAGCACTCTGTTGCATTATTTTATATTTGAGGAAATTATATCCTCAGGTAATGTGTTAATTGATGTTATTATTGCTCTGTTAACTGTGGTTGCTCAGTTTCATGGGCATTTATTGGATGTTTATTGTGACATGATTCCACCATTTTGTATGCTTTTATTTTTTATCAGTACAAATATGTTTTAAGCCATTATGGTCACTAATATTTCTCCCTCCATTGTCACTTGAATCATCTCCATTTTGTAAACAGTTTTATTTTATTTTGAGGCTTTATGCTGTGGTCTAGTGGTTATAGTGTTGGACTGGGATTTTGGAGATCAATGTTCAAATCCCCACTCTATCATGGAAGCTTGCTGGGTGACCTTGGGCCAGTCACACATTCTCAACCTATCCTACCCCACAGGGTTGTTGTGAGGATAAAATGGAGGACAGATGATATAAGCTATGTTGAAGAGAAAGTAAACAAATAAATTGTGCTCCTTTTTTCATATACTACATCCACATCCAGCCAGGTTATGAAGCAAGGTTGCCTGTTCCCCAAAATTAAATGCACTAATAGAGGTTGCAATCCTAAGAACATTTCCTAAGAGTACCCCTCATTGAATAAAATGGGACTTACTTTTGAGTAGACCTATTTAGGATTGCTTCCTTAGATGGGTGTAATTCTCTAAATTAAATGGTATATATACCAAAGTAAATGGATATCAAATTGCCACTTTAGGATTATTTCAACACACATTTCAGCACAATTCTACATGTTTGAGAAGTTAATCCTTTGTGTTTAATAGTGCCATCTACAAGAGCACATATTCCTGTCTCAAACAACACTTTAACTTCCCCTTTCTTTCCATTTGTCATACACACACACACCCTTCTGTTCAACTAAAGTTTTGACCAAACCATGTTTATGCTTATACCCCATTTTTATCACAACTACAGGTGTACCTTATGTTTCCCGTTTCCCATCCTCACCACACAAATCTATATCTGGAACAATTTAGCATTACTATACTTTATCTCATTTATAAAATCGTAGGTTATTTAAAATGTTTTAAAACAATTTTAAATTAAATTTAAATCTTTCTTATGCACATACTAAAATCTAAACTGTCATGGATACCAGCTTCTGTTCACGACGTTCTGAAGACGAGTCCAAGGTCCTTTTATTGGAGAATAATATTTGGCAATTGTTCAACTTCAATCCAAAAAGATTATGAAAACGAACCTAAGTTTCAAGCTCCGGCAGAGCTCCTCGTATGATCACATTACCTTAATACGGCTCTCATATCATCACAATCATATTTTCTGAAGTGATTATGCAATGATGTGGGAGGTTTCCTTGCATTCCTTTCGCTTCTCACACCGTAGCTCCTCTCACCCACTTTCCCATCCATTCGTTTGTTTCACGTTCACACATGTGCCAGCTGGCAATGCTGCCTTCAGTCTGTCGGCCACCTAGTTTAAGGGCACACAAGCTCGCAATGGGCAGGAACACAGGGCGAGCCCGTGACGGCTGATAGACAGCTGAAATATCCTGTAGCTGAGAGAGGTGGGCGGGACTAAGAGGAGAGCATCCAATCACGGAGCCGTACAGGGTGGGTCGCTGGTACCTGTGCTGGAATAAAAGCTGCTGCGTGCGCGGCTTTCCTTCGCTTACACAGTATGGCCGGCGACATTAGCTAGCGCTCGCTCTATGCTTTTCTCTGTAACAGGGGAACACACGGAATACAAGGAACCGAACCGCATCGCCTGCACGCCTGCCCACTCCGCACTTCTTTCCTTCCACCCCGCGTCCACCTTCCTTCCCCCTTCGAAAGGACCCGTCGCCTTCCTCGCAACCGCTCGCTGGTATTTTTTTTTTAAAGCTTAGTATAAGAGTACTACCCCGTCAAAGGTGAAACCTGCCTGGACGGGCTGCGACGCGGCCCCGAAAAACGCCAGTAGTAGTGACCAGCCGTAGCCAGTGTGTAGGTGAGGAGGAGAAGGAGGGCGGCGGCGGCAGCAGCAGCAGTTTGGTCGGGGGTGCCTGTCGTTAATTTCTGTGGTTGTTGGTTTTGCGGAGTTGTCTCACCATGATGGAGGAGAACGGTGCACACTTCTTCGAAGGGACTGAGAAGCTCCTGGAGGTGTGGTTCGCCCAGCAACAGCCCTCGCAGCAGGAGCCACACCAGAGCAAGGGGTCCGGCGACCTCCGCACCATTCCCAGGTTAGTAGGGGAGGGAGGCAGAGGCCGGGCGGACGATGAGGTAAAGGGAAGGGCGGGGGGGGGGCGGGTTAGAGTGGAGAGAGTGAAGGAAACATGGATGAGTTAGTGAAGTGGGTGGTCGAATATGCCCGACTGGTGGCGCACATGCACTGGCAGCAGGGTGAGCGCGATGCCGGCACCGCTAGGCGGGAAGTGAGCGAGGCTAATGGCCGGTAAAGGAGAAGGGCATGGCGGCTCCTCCATTCAGAACGGCGTAATGGAGGGCGGGGGCTGTCCCTCGGCCAGGTGAAGAGGGAGGATTTCTACCAGTGGGGGCGGCGGCGGCGTAGAGGCCTCGGAGTGACGTGCGTAGGTTCGCCGGCTCTCTTGGCCGTTGCTCGGGGGAGAGGAGGAACCGTCTCCAACGGTCACTATGGTTCCTGCGGCTCACGCGGGCCTCGCTGCGAGGCGGGGCGGCAGGCCTCGGTTCGCATTCCAGGCAGGCCGGGGCAGAAGTTGGCGGGGAATGGGTTAAGGTGCGAGGGCGGTTTTCGACCTTTCTGGGGCGGGCGATAAGTCGTGTCGCGCGCATTGGGATCCTCACTAATTTCCCTTAATGCGGAGCTTGGTCTCTGCTCCGCTTCCTTCTCTTTAGCTCTTCCTCCCCCTCGGGTGGGGGGGCGGGAGAGCAGTTGTCGCCCCGTTTAGTCACCGTGGCCCTAGATGGGGGGGGGGTTTCCCTCGGAGCTGAGGTTGGAACCGCAGTGACTGCGACGATAGGTGCCCAGGTTAGTCTGCATCGTCACGTATGGACGCATTTATCACGTGAGTTTGCTCGTTCGCGTGTGCATCTAGAGCGCGGGTTGTTTGGGCCTTTCTGCTGGAGACAATTCTGCGCTCACGTAGCGCTTCCCGCTGCTGACAGCGGAGCCCTCGGGTCAGGTTCTGAGGGAGCGGCCGCCTCTAAAATTCGTCTTTGTGGGTTGTTTCAGCTACCTGTTAAAGGGAGGTTTACTGCAGTCTACTTCATTCAGCCAGTGCCCAGAGGTGGTGGAAGGGCTATGTTTAGCTTCTCAGGCAGGAGTGGGCCTCATAGGGTAGTTCCGGTGAGGAGAGCACAGACAGAGAGCGTGGTTCGAGTTCCTTATTTGTGCCATTGGCGCTTGTCGTACTTGGCACGGATGCAGGGCGAAGGAAGCCCCTCCTATTTCAAAAAATGTGGCTGGAACAGGGATCACACGTGAGGCTTCTGCCTCACACCCCAGATAGGGGGGCCTCTCTTTTCTCATTGACAAGTTCAAGCCAATGAAATTGCTGTGCCGTGGAAGGGCCGAGCTTGGGGCTGTCATCTAGTGGGCATTTCAGGAATGTGGAAAAAGGGCCAGCTCAAGCAACAGAGTAGTGGGGGGAAGGGCTGAACTCTACACAAACTCAGATGTACATGTGCTTGTATCTCCCTTGCTTTGTGTGGGAGAAGGACAGTCTGGCTGAGTGATCCTCTGGAAGAGTGGGCATTAAAGGCTTAAGCACCAGAACAGAGAGTGACAAGTCTGACCCTCTGAAACTGAAAGGAGGAGAAAGTAGTAGTCAGTACTGTTTGCATGAAGCAGTCTGGATAGTTAACTGAACTACTTGTTCCAGTTTAAGATTTTTGAGTTCTTGTACTGCTGTAGAGGATGAAAACTTCAGATGTGTTGAGAGAAAATAAAGCTTGTTGAAAATAATTAAGGAATGAGAATCAACACACAGTGAACATTGCTCCTAAAAATAAAAAGTTGTGGTTACATGCTATACTGTGGCTGTCAGTTTCATTTTCCAGCTATTATCAAATTGGCTTTACCATATAAATGTGTTACATCTGGAAGATACTTCTTGCCTGCCTCACAGCAGCAGCAACCAGTCACTGATACTACTGGCTATTGTGGTGGAAGAAATGAACTGAAGTAAAATGAAGACCTTGCATCTGACCAGTGTGTAGTTAGAAACATGAAGCACTTAAAATAAATGAGTTGGAATGTCTGAAGAGTTTAGTTTAGTGTAGACCTCTACAACAAACTTTTTTCTGCCTTACGTTTTTTCTTCATAATATCACCAGTGGTGTGGGTTTGCCAGAAAAAATTGAATTTGAGAATTTTTCAGAATACTTTTGATTCCCAAAATAGTATGGTTTGATGTAGAATTTTTGTTTTTATGTTTAGTAAACAAATTTTAAAAGTACTCATGTAGCTACATATAATTAATATTAGAAATCCGCGTGTTGAAAAAATAAACATAACCAACTGTTCTTTAAATGTGTCAGTTATTTTTTTCCCTTGGAATAATACTTGGATTGAAAGACCCTTTCCACTTTTTAAAAGAAAAAATAACTTTTAGCACAGCCAAGATCCACATTGTGTTCCATAGACACGGTTGTCCACTCATCTATTTAAAAGAACTTACCTGTTCTGTAGAGGTCACTCAGTGCTTCAGTTTCATTAGTACATTCCATTTCATTGGTTTTTAATGCCACATATTAGTGATTTCAATATTTCTAGCACATGATGAAACATAAGAATTTTAACTTTGGCTCTGAGGCTTTGACCTACTTGATCTCTTAAAATATGGATTTCTAACGTCTACCTGTGGCTTTAGTGTTTTAGCTCTTCAGCCTTTTAGGTTCCTGGCTTGATTTTTCAGGTTGGGATTTTCCCCCTTTTGTTGTTTGCTTTAGTGCTCCCCTTTACACATAAATAAAACATGTATTCTCTGATGAAATTTCTAGAAAAAATCACAGCTTTGAAATTGCCATGTTTGCCTAACATTGACAATGGTAACAGTTCATTGTTTATGAAACAATGAATCTTTAGAAATTGACAATTTTCGATAGAAAAATACAGCAATAGAAATCAGCTCACATCTCCATGTCACTGTTTCGGTGGCAAAACTGGAGGTCTTTAACTTGGGTTCTGTCTCCTGTCCTGGTGCTTTCCTGTGGTCTCTGCATGTTAAGTAAGGGTTGTCCATGTGGCAAACCCATAGCCTTCAGTACTTCTAAAAGAAGGAAAGTTCTGTTCCCATTTAGGGTTTGCTCAGAAATATGAATAGGATTCCATCCTTATAGCTTGAACCCATGGATGTTTGTTTAGGACAATGTTGTAAGGTGCCTTCTTCAGAAGTTTAGGTCCATGAGGCATGTAGATTAGGCCAGTTACTGTTATGGAAGCAAACCAACAAAAGCAAGTTGCTTCCTGTGTCTGCTTAAAGGGCCAGGAGGAATGTCAGTGTTTCACTGCTTTACTGAATTTGCATTACTGAATTTATCAGCAGTCAACACCTATCTGAAAGGGTTATGCTATCTCTTTTCCCCACCCCACTGGACTTCATGGGTTGTGTGTGAACAGCCTAGTTCTCACTCCACCCTAAAGGATGAGAGAATTGCTAATTTACTAATTCTAAATTTCTGTTGTATTGACATACTTAGATACCTGTGATACATCATGATGGCATCACTCACAACGAATACCTCTAGTATTTCTGCTTCCTTGTTATAAATACAAGTTATGAGAACTGGGCATTCATGGAAAACTGCATGCATCATGCAGACCTCAGTGATGCAGATAACCTCTTGTTTTGAAGCTGGCAATTAAAACAATTGTGTATATGCAGCCAAAATATCATCAGCATTGGCAAGGGTTGAATAATAGGTAGTAATACATTTAAGGTGTTTCCTATGGTGGTGGTGGGCCCTTGAACAACATGAAGTCACAGTTGCATACTAGAGATCCCAGAAAGTGGCAGAGAATTTTAAACTACAGGAATCCTTTCTTTTAATTAAGCCAGACCTTAACATAGGAACTTAAGTGTACGCTACTCTCAAATGAAATTTACACAGTAAATAGAACACGTGGGACTAATATGTAAAAGTATCCCTGATAGTATGAGTTCTTCATCTGTGAATGACTATGCAGTTTTCTGGTCAGGGTTGACAAACTTGAATGCCCAACATGTACCAGCCATCTTTCCCAACACACATCTTCATTATTTTGCCTCAGCAATGTTCCCTCTGAGCTGTGGAGCCTTGTGAGCAAAAATTCTACTTATTAAAGTAGCAATTTGGCTACTGCATAAATTAGTTTGCTCTGGAGCCATCTTTCCTGAGCTAAGACAAAAATGTGTGAGCCAGAGGCTAAAAATCTGAGCTAGCTCACACTAACTCAGCTTAGAGGGAACACTGGTTAGCAATGTTCCCTCTAAACTGTGGAGTCTTGTGAGCAAGAATTCTACCTTGTGAGCTACTGGCATTAAAGTTGTGAGCCAGCAATTTGGCTGCTGCATACATTAGTTTGCTCTGAAGCCCTTCTTCCTGAGCGGAGACAAAAATGTGTGAGCCGGAGAGTAAAAAATTGTGAGCTAGCTCACACTAACTCAGCTTAGAGGGAACACTGCTGGTTAGGAGTATTCTGAAACTTTAAAAAGGGTTCCAGAGGAGATCCGGGAAATTACAGGCCAGTCAGTCTGACGTCGATACCGGGTAAATTGGTGGAAACCATTATTAAGGAAAGAATTAGTAGGCACATAGATGAACAAAACCTATTGAGGCAGACTCAACATGGGTTCTGTAAGGGAAGATCTTGTCTCACTAACCTGTTAATGTTCTTTGAGGGGGTGAACAAACATGTGGACAAGGGGGATTCAATAGATATTGTTTACCTTGACTTCCAGAAAGCTTTTGATAAAGTTCCTCATCAAAGGCTCCTAAGTAAGCTCAAAAATCATGGGATAAAAGGACAAGTCCTTTTATGGATCAAAAACTGGCTAATTAATAGAAAACAGAGAGTGAGTATAAATGGGCAGTTCTCCCAGTGGAGGGGGGTAAGCAGTGGGGTACCACAGGGATCAGTACTTGGTCCACTGCTTTTTAACTTGTTCATTAATGATTTGGAGTTGGGAGTAAGCAGTGAAGTGGCTAAATTTGCGGATGATACGAAGTTGTTCAGGGTGGTGAAAACCAGTGAGGATTGTGAGGCACTCCAAAGGGATCT